ATCATAGACAATGTGAGATACATTGGTACACCAGGATTATACGAGTTGATCTTCAAGAGAATTCCCGACGACGTCGTATACACTGAGAACGATGTGCAAAAATATAAGAGCATATTGATGGCGACGAGTGCGCATAAACGTCAATATGATGCGCAAGGCCAATTAAAGAGCAACAAGGGATACAAGTATAAACAAATAATCGCGCCGTTGATGTCGATCGAATCGAAAAAGAAAAAAACGGGAACGGGAGTATTCACGCCTCGCGCGATGACGCTAACCGACAATAAGATCGATTACGTGCATGATCCCAACGAGCTAGTGGATCGCCTACGATTGCTTGACGCTTCGCGTCGAGCTGGCCACAACGCTCACGACAACGAGATCATGTCGATCATAGAGGAACTTCGCGAAGCCGACCTTATTATAAATTAAACGGTGTCTCGACGAAACTAATCAGTCGATCGACGTCACTAGCATCGAGAAACAATGCCTATCAACAAATTTGGATTATTCGAACGGAGAAACGAAGAAATCAGCACGAGCGATCATTGGGGTAAATTGGTGATGAGTTACTTGCGTCAAAACGCTCTGTGTCACGTCGCAACGGACTATGACGCGAGGTCGCGCAAGATTCGCCGTGTAGCGCAACCTGTGGCTGATACCGATGCAGTCAACAAACTGTACGTGGAAGAATGCGTTAAAACGTTGAAGAATCGACAGAAAGAATCAGACGAGAAGCTGACTGCGTTTGAGAAGGACGTGCGAGCTTTACAGATTGCGATAAACGAGCTTCGTCGTATGATTAATACTAATTCAGAAACGGCTATCAACCTGTAATGTGCTGTAGTGAACGGCTTAGGAGCGGCTATTGTACAATTATTAAACATCTAGAAAAGTTTACCGAACGGCTACGAACGATTATCCGACGATTATCGAGCTATAATGAGTGGCAGTGATCGAAGAGGAAACGGTCTCAAACGAGGCTACGAACAATTCAAGAACAGCTGCGAACGAGGCTACGGGCACCTCAAGGACGGCTGCGAACAAGGCTATGAACACGTCAGGAACGGCTACATACGAAGCGGTATACAAGTCCGGAACGGCTACGAACGAGTCAAAAACGATTGTCAAAGAGGCTACGAACGGGTCAGAAACGACTACAAACGAGGCTACGGACTACTTAAAAACGACTATCAACAGGGTCAATCACGTCAACAAAGGGATCAAGAACGGCAGTGAACAGCTAGGGAACGGCTATTGAACGGCTAAGGAACGACAATCGAACGGATCAGCAACAGCTACGAACGGCTATTGAACGGCTATAAACGGCAATCGAACGGGTCAGCAATGCCAATCGAACGGCTATTGAACGGCTATAAACGGCAATCGAACGGGTCAGCAATGCCAATCGAACGGCTATTGAACGGCTATAAACGGCAATCGAACGGGTCAGCAACGGCTAAAGAGTGACAACGAATAATAAAACGCACGGTGATACACGCATCATTCGATCGACGAATCGAAACAACGACGAGTCGATGATCGGGAATAACCGAGGAAGCGAAGAAACAACATAGTTTAGAGAAACGGCAGTTGATGAACGAACTGCACGCACCGGCGAGAAAAAATTTCTCCCGAAGACACGTAATAGTGCGGGGATACGATGATCTGTGGCAAGCCGACATTGTCGAGATGCGTCCGTACTCTCGTTTCAACAGAGGTTACAACTACATACTCACAGTCATCGATGCGTTGAGCAAGCACGCGTGGGCCGTACCGCTCAAGAGTAAAGGCGGAAGCGAGACAGCTGACGCTATCGCCGAGATAATTCGAGATAGCGAGAGGTGTCCGAAAAACATATAGACCGACATGGGGAAGGAATTTTATAACGCCGACGTGCAACGGCTCATGCGAAAACACGGCATAAATCATTATTCGGTATTGAAGGCATCGATCGTCGAGCGATTCAATCGCACGCTAAAAGACGACATGTGGAAGATGTTTACGCTGAACGGATCTTACAAGTGGGTTAACGCGTTGCCGGGACTCGTATCGGATTACAACGCGCGCAAGCATCGAATGATCGGTATGCGACCCGTCGACGTTACCCCCGCGATCGCCGAAAGACTCTTGGCTACTGTATACAACCGTGTAAATATCGCGGGTCCGGCGAAATTCAAAGTAGGTGACTCGGTACGCGTTAGCAAGTACAAGACAGTTTTCGAGAAGGGTTACACGCCAAATTGGACAACCGAGGTGTTTAAAATTGTAAAAGTGCAGCATACTAATCCCGTAAGTTATCTACTCGAGAATTATCGCAAAAAACCTATCGCTGGAGCGTTCTACGAGCACGAGTTGCATCGCGCGAATTATCCTGATGTGTATCTCGTGGAGAAAGTGCTGCGCAGGAGAGGTGACGAGGTTTACGTGAAATGGTTGGGATTTGACAATTCGCACAACTCTTGGATACATAAGGACAATATGATTTAATTTATACAGTGTTTATTAATATTTCTTTCAATAATACTATATATATATATTCTTAATATAAGTATGTAAGATATGCGTTACATAAAATATATGAAATATAAATGTGTAAGATGTGTATTATATAAAACTATATGAAGTACAAAATATATACAGTAATAAATAAAATATATACATCTATTTACAAAGGTATCCTATAATGTCCCCATGGTAACGTGTCAGTCGAATCAGGTACGATATATCGCTTGTCATCGTACGGACTCAGAGCAATTTTCCTCTCGCGGACGGTATACACTTTGTGCAATTTCGATCTTATACACGACTACTGTCGCGTCATTTCGATCTCTTCGTTTAAACACCGCGTGTAATCTTCGAAGGTTATATTACGCGCTACGACATTACTTTTGACGCCTTTAACTTTCTTCGTGTCTTTCTTTCCGTTCACTCGTAACGCGTACATCTTTGCCCTGAGTCCGACGAATTCGGTCATTATCGCGCCGTTATTTTCATCCTTCATCAAACCCTGCACTTTTTTATTTACAAGCGGTATATCGTACGCATTGTCCATCGCATAATCGCTCGTGTCAAATCTGGCGATATCGCGCTTCATGTTCTCATAGACATCCGCGCACTCAATGTGATATACGAGACTGTCCGTATCGGTGTACATGATCTTACATTTGTCGCGATACAGAGGAAATATGCACTCATGATGAAATTCGTACAGACACGTCTTGGATATGTCAAGTATGCACATATCCACGTAAATCGGTTTGTAAAATTTCACCTCGAGTTTATGCAATTCTACCGCAATCAGATTTTCCGAAAAAACGCTTCTGCTGTGGAAATTCGGTTTCGCGATCATCGCTTCCGCGCCGAACCGACCGTCCCATTTTGTTAATAATTTTACATCGACACGATTCCGCACATTTTCCATCGTTTTGCCAAACACAGTATTATTCATTAATTTGTATAAATTTTTCTCGAAATCGTTTTTCGCGAGTGTTCTGAAATGTGTATTTAATTCTATGTAATTTCGAAGCCACGGAGATTGAGAAAACTGTAAAATTCTATGTATTTTTGTCACATGAAGGCCGTGACGCGTACACTGCTGTAGGTTATGGTAGTGTATCACGTAACGCTTCTTATCGTATAACGTTGCAAGCAATTTGAATTCTCGCTTACCGGGCGGCTTGTCGCGTGTCGGGCAAAACGGTAGGTCGGTGTGCGTATCGTGAAGATGTTGCGGGTATTCGAGATCGACTTCGAGGATATATCCCGTAGGCGAATCTAACGCTATAGATGATACGTTAAAATTCGACGTGTCGTCGACCCATCGAAAATCGGCGTAAGGCAACGGTTGACACATTGCCCATCCGTATAAATTATTAACGTCAAAATACATCAAGTACGACGATGGTTTCGATGGATCGTACGATTATCGCATGTACTTGTTATTAGCGCGCGCGTATCTGTTGGAACATTGACTCAGATCACCGCGTATACCGCGTTCTATAAACATGACCATGTCGATATCTGTAAGCAATTCGAACGTGATCTTTGTATGCTTTAACATGGCGTCCCACGTGTATCCGGGGAGAGTATAGTAATACGCGGGGTCGAATCCGTAACTTTTGATGCAGCTATCGCGAAAATTTTCGAAAATATCTGCTAATAACAAGACGTCGATTTTGAGATACATGTCGCTATATTCGCCCAGCGTTCGAATGGAGAATCGCGTCTAGATGTTCTCGGCGTGCGCGTAATCACTCTCGGATATAGTTGCACCGGTCAAGGAACTGTAAAACGATTCGCGCGGTGGTAAACGCGTATCTCGCAACCTATCGAGTCGACGTATTCGTACGGAAAGACGCCTTTCCGTGTTAATAAATTGAAATTTTCCGCGGATAAATTTTGAAATTCCGATTTTAAAATTTTGAGCTTATCTCTGTCTAGATAAGATGCCAATTTGTCGGGACTCGATGTAAGAAATTTGTACAAATCGATGAAGCGTAATTTTACATGATGTTTCCAATCGCCTTCCTTAAGGTCGACATTTTTTGTAAAAGAAATATATTTCTCTTTCGTTATCGGAAGTAACTCGACTCTCCCTTCGAATGCTGTGGCTATTTCCTCGATAATAAAATGCGAATCGTAACCGGATAAATTTTGGAAAACTATCGGAATACAAAAAGATTATTTGTAATTTAAATTACAATTTGAATGCGCGGGGCCTCTGTACCGCTCGGTCAAATGACAATGATCGCGAACGCGTGTATCGTCTTCCGCGAACGGTTTTTCGCATATGTGACATTGAGTGGCGTTGTAAAATTTTTCACACTCTTTCGATGTTAAATTTACCATAGGGACATCGTTAAAATATTCTTAACGCGAATCGCTAAATTTTTAAGATCTTCGACGAACCATGCTATACAATCGGCGCTACGACGCGAATGATACGCCGATAAAGATTCGTCGTACGAACAATGTACATAGTAAGCTATGCTAAATACTTGGTGATGTTGATACAATTTTTGTTGTTCTTCCTCCGTTTTGGTCAGAACGCATTCCAGATCGGCATACACGACGAATGGAAGCCGCTCTTTCCTATTGTAATTGTTGAACTCGAGCCACTTGTCCTTATCGCTCGGCAACCGGATAGCGCAGTCGTTCATCTCCCCGCAGTCGACGGCATGTAACTGCAACTTGACGTCTGAACTAAAATAATGCAGGCATCTGTAAAAGAAAAATTTTTTAATTAAAATTAGTACAATTTTTATATAAATTATTTGATATAATTATTTTATATTAATATATACATACCGATCGCAGATATATCTTTCACCGGTGTGTTTGCTCAGTTGCGAGCTCACGAGCCTGGATAAATTTTTTATCCACGCGAAATGTCCGACGCCGTTGCCGTCTTCCACGTATAGCAGATTCACATGCTTATCTCGCTTTTGCTCCGAAAGACATATCGAGACAATACTGTTCTTGTCTTCGATGCCGTACACGTTGATCGAGATATTGTTTGCGAGTTCAAACTTTTTAATTTGATTTAAAGTTACAGGAAACTCAATATCTAGGAGATTCAGCACTGTCGCGTAATGCGGGTACGATGATTCTCGTTCCACCTTTCTTTCTGCGGGATATAGAGCGGCGACCACTGCCCACGCGAAACACGCATTGTCTTTAGACTGTACGTTAATCACCGCTCTTTTCATCATAATCTCCCGCGACAATTTAATGTGGCATCCCGCGCGCATTGGATTATATTTAATTACATTAACAGTCAAATTCTGTATTCGCGACAATGCCCAGCCACTATCGCGTTCCTGAAACTCTTCCAGAGACGCTAAAGTGGGCTCGATAACGCAGCGCTCGAACCACTCGCGTAAATCCGATGTGCGAAAGAGTTCACAGTTTCTCGTATTTATACTTTCATTCGCGCGCTTATCACCCGACACAAATTCACCGTTGAATATAGTATTTACTTTTACACTGTTGTGTCTTTTTAGAACGTCTTGCACTTGCTCGAGCACAATGTCTTCGGCATCCTCGAGAAATTGACGAGGTTCGATATAGTTTGCGTTAATCACGGCACCGGTCAGAATACGGCTGTCGAACGCGGTATCGATCTCTCGCCAAGTCTTTCCGCGTTATTGTCACCGCTGTAATCATCATCACTGAGAATAAACCGTCTCTGCAATCGAGTCTTCGCACTTTCTAGTCGCGCGATTTTAGCCACCAGAGATTGTCTATTTCCGATCGAGAGCCGCGGACGCTTGGCACGACTGCGTTCTTCGAGCTCTTTGATCAATTCCTCGCAACGCTGCAACCACGCGAAATACTCGCCCAAGGTGGCAATTTGGCGAGATCCGTCCACCAGATCGCGTTCGGTCTGCTCGATGTTTTCCATTTTCCTGTCTTTTTCACATTCACACTTTTAAAACACTATGTCACAGTTTTCTACGGATGACTTTTGCACGCGATAAACAATACCGTTCGCTATCTTGAACGTGAAATAGGCGCAAAATCTTTCTAATGGGACACCGCTATACTTTTTTACAACCGACGCGTCGATGGGCGTTCAAATCACATACTATGATGATTTGATGCGCTTCAATCCTTATATGAAGGAGAAAACAAAGCAGCCAAACATCGGCGCTGATACGTTAAAAATTCTTCCGAGAAAAAATCGTGAAAGACGATTCTGGGAGGTGCCGTTTGTTTATATTGTTTATAAATTCACGTGCTGTGTAATTCAATGAGAGAGATAAGGATACGTCGAACGGAAAAAATCTAGAATTACTTATATCGGGGGTGAGGGGTGTACCGCGAAAGCGCTGATATACGAACGGTGGAAGCAAGGGTACAAAGCAGCCAAACATCGGCGCTGATACGTTAAAAAATTCTTCCGAGAAAAAAATCGTGAAAGATGATTCTGAGGTACTATTTGTTTATATTGTTTATCAACCAGGCATGCGATAATATTGCTTATACTTTTGATAAATATATGGGACCGCGCATACTTTTTACGAGGCGTTTACGACGATATGGCGATAATGCCACATCTCTATTATACGATCATAATCTCAATTCAAAGAAATGCTGATGTTTATATTATTTATATTATTTATATTATATTATTTATATTATTTATGAACTGAACATGTTCGTACGCAATACTGTTTATCAGTCGGGCATGTAATATAATATTGCGATAAAACATCTAACACGCGCCGCCGCCGAAATCCCTTCCGTCCCGCGTGACGTCATTCTCCCGCGCCATCGTAATCCCCCGCACGCCTCACCCCCCCCTGAGAGGACCTGGGTTAGAACTCTCCTATATATCTTACTGCGGTAGATCTTATTCATTGGTCGCCAGATTGACCAGCCATGATCTCCTAAGCGTACTTCAACCATGCCGGATGGTCGACTGATTTTTTCCATCCATCCTCGTCGCCAGCCATTATCCTCCTTGACAGCGACATCCATGTGTAATGTCATGTCGTTCGAGTAACAGATTAAGAACGCGTTCTTCCGTGACATACGGAAAGCAAGTTCCTCCTTCATTTCTTGCAGGGCCTGGTCGCCATTTTTTAATCGGACCCAAAATAGCAAGAGGGACACGATCCGGAGGATAAAGACCTCCAGACGAGAACGCGTAAGATCTTCTGTATTGATAGGCGCTGGTTCCATTTTTCTATAAAAAAAGTTAGTTGTCCTTATTTAATTGTCTTTGAAGAAGGATAAAACGACGGCAGAAAATTGAAGAGAGGGAGTGGGAAGAGGTTTCTAGCGGTATGCTTGAACCTTTACTCCTTAAATTGTAGCGTGAAATTACAATTCTCTTTTTGAGAGAGAGATGGGTAAACGCGGTCAGAGACTCCTGTATAGACTTCGGTATCAATAGGATGTTTATTTTTGTGTGAATCTTCAGCGGTTGGTGTGATTGGCTGGTTAATAGACGGTTGTTTCAGTTTCAGATGTAACAAAAGTTGAGTAAGGGAATCCCAGATAGCTCCTAGCAGGTATATGGACCATCCGTACACTGTATGTAAGGCGTAGCCATGAACTAGAGTATCTAATATTAATTAAAAAATTCTGATAGATAGATATATTCCCATTATTTCGGCGCTGATGTTACCGAAAATTAAAAATCTGTTCCAAAATTTTTCCCAGGGAGAGACGGCGATTTTTTTCTTTTGCGTCTTTGTCTAAAAGATTCGTAATTGAACCTCCCTGTAGAGATATAGGTCTTCCCATTATTCCCCTGGCGATGGTGTTAAGTACCGCAGGCCTTTCGACAGGGAACATAATATGATCCTTTAGATCTTCTAGATCGTTTTCGCTATATATGCCACTGGTGGCTAGCGATCCAAGGCTGACATACTTCCAGGTGGGCTTGGTTAAAGGTTTCATAATGGCAGAGGGTACTGTATCTACTGGTTTAGGCATAAGTTTATACCAGGAGTCTCCCAGCAGGTGCAAATGCATTGCATACAGTTTGTATCCCCTGACGTAATAGTACATGCGTCTGTAGTGTCAAAAAGAATGTTCGATTTTCCCTCAATACAGGGAGTTGATTGTAACAATGTTCCGTTTGTGCTATTCTCACCTCGACAGGTACGCATTTTACTATGTGAATTACCTCGTCGGCTAACAGCGCCATATATCCTGGTCCTTTCATCAAATAATACGCGAATATATCAGGTGATTGTGTTGCTATGGCTAAGGCGTTATGCAATAATTATTGCTCCAAATTACATTGTTGTAAAAATATATTTCTGTATAGTTCACTTATTTGCGTATATGTTTTTCTACATACACGAATTTAGAATTCATGTATGTGAAAATATCCAGATTTGATACTTTAGATTGTTTTTTGAAGATTTCAACGCCGGGTGATGTTTCAAATATTATTAATTTCGAATGTTCAGTACAAGTTAAAGTATATCCACAAGTAATATATTTTCCGTTGCTGGTTAATGTGAATATAGTGTTTTGTGCAGTTAACGAATAAGCTACTTGTGACTGCTGATTCATGCTATCAATTATTCTGTCAGCATATCCTTCATACAATACGCCATAGCTAGAAAATTTGCAAGTATCAGCTGGTACGGGATCCCAGAAAGTATCTCCTCCTTCAATATTTAAGCAACTTGTAGCGCTAAGCTCACACACCACTCCTGATCTGAGATATACCTTGTTAGTGTTTATTTTTACATCATCGATATAATCTTATAATTTTAATACTATCCATTACAATGACGTCCATCCATGTTCCATATGGATCAGAATACGCGCCTCCGGAGCACGATCCTTCTGAGTCAACGTGACCTGCTAACATTATAGGACGTGTCAGAATTTGATTTGATTTTAATCCAGTTATATAAGTTCCTGCTAATTCATAAGTGCCATAAGTGTGCATACGACGGCATGCTTCACGAGTGGTTTCTTGTATAAAAAAATATTTTTGCCGTTGAAGACATTCATGGTGTGAGAAAATATCCCGCATTTCTTAATTAATCTGTCGACTTCGATTTTACATTGTATCACTTTTACGGAGTCAAATTCGTTAATTTGGAGCAGTTGAATATAAATTCGGCTTGAATTCACACTTTTCTGGGGAATATCGCATTCTTTGATGTTTAATAACGATAAAGTGATGAGATTAGCAGACACTAAATCGCAATCGTAGCCTATTATTCCATGGGTGAATCATAAATCCACAAAGAAGAATATTAACGTAGCTATTCCCTTGGGATCCATCTGAAATTTTTCCTTATATATGTATTGATATAACTAACCTATCTATTTATCATTTATTTACATCGCTAACTTAGCTGTTATATTTATTATTTAGTTTTTACTTAACAACGGAATATTTCATGCATACACATATATGTACTCTTTCTCTCTCCCCCCCTTTTTTATTGAGGGTTGTTGTTGGTAATATGACTATTGATATTGTATTATTACTTTATCCTCTTGATGATTCAATGATTTATCCATGGATTTAATATAAGAAATTCGCAACCGATTTGGATGTAGTATTCGGTTGTTCTTTTTTATTTTTATTCTTACATTATTTTTATTTAAAATTTCCAAGATTTTATGAAGGTCTATGTAATAATCGCCGAACTTTCCCGGTTTCGGGCTCTTTAATAAAAAATACCTGATCTCCAGGTTTAAATGTCTGAGGATTGATTTTTCTATCATAATATTTCTTTGGTTTATGTTTAGCGTCGATTACATTTTTTCTTGCATTTCCCTGAATGGTATGTAGTTGCGTTACAAGATTTATCAGATATTCGTCATAATTCGCTAATCTGTCTTCTGGCGCTGGGAATTCACTCGAAGGAACTCTTGCTATTTTCCCAAATACTAGCTCATATGGAGTGTGTTTCGTTGCTTCATGCACGTTTGTGTTGTAATTAAACATTGCAAGTCCTATCCATCGGTCCCATTGTTTTTGTTCACTAGCATATTGTTTAAGATATTCTTCTAGTGCATGATGTGATCTTTCTAAAGATCCGTTCGATTGTGGATAGAAGGCGGTAGTACAAAATTTACGAATTTTAAATAATTTAGTTATTTTCTTCATTAGATCGCTAATAAAATTTCTGCCTTGATCTCTTAATATAGCTTTGGGGGATCCAAGTACGCAAATAAAACGGTCTACGAATACTTCTGCAATTGTTTCAGAGGTCTGGTCTGGTAATGGTATTCCCATGCAGAATTTTGTTAATTGATCTTGCAT